TTAACAAATGGTAAACACCACAGCGTACACTATTGAGTTATGGATGCACGCGGGAGGTTGCTAAGCACGAAAGAAGCGTAAGAGTCGCTCGAGGCGATAGCCGAGAGCGACTCTAGCTTCTTGAGTGCTTAGCAAACCTCCCAAGTGCATCCATAACTCAATAGTGTACGCTGGGGTGTTTACCATTTGTTTTATAACATAACATTGATACATTGTAGCTAAAGATTTCCCTTTTATTTAACAAATCTTACGCGACCAGAGAAAACAAGCGCGCGCGGAAAAATAGTCTTTGCATTTGCTCACGTCAGCAGCGTACACCCATGGGCAAATGGGGGACCCTAAATTGACCAATCAGAGCACGCGCTTTACTTTGGTTATGTTATAATTTAATTTCGTCGCTCAAAACTTCACAGTGAACCTCTTGTTTAAGAAGGATTTGCTCAAATACCTCTCGTTTTCCCGCCCTTTTGCGGTTTTGCCGCTGATGACCGCGGGCTTCGGCACTCAATTTTTCTTGTAGCGGCCATCTTGGTTTTGTTATGTTTAAAGCTCGAACTAAACTACTTTGATTGACGACTTCTTCCTGCTTATTCCATTCTAGTATCGAAAACACCTCTCTTTGACCCTAGTTTTTAAAAGTAACTTTTCCTCCGAATTTCAAAACATTATTCCGCATGGGAATTTACCGGAAGTTCTCTTGTTTTTGTTMGTTCTTTTGTTTATTTGTTTGTTCAATAGGCAAGTGTATCTCTGAAGAGGCTGCAAGATTTTCTTAACCTTGAGGAGCTGGACCTCAATAGTGTCCAAAGGACAACATGTAAGACTTCCTGTTCACCTACTTGTCATTGTAAGATAATCACTCAATGAACTGTACGTCAACTTGTAAAATGGTAACCTGTTAGCGGGGATTAATGCTCTCAAGAGATATGATAACTTAACGATCTGCTCAGCGAAATGGAGAGAGGGTTGAAATTGGGTTTATTTCCTTACGAGCGACAGAAAAGGACTGAAACACAGTCAAGTAACAACAGAAGAAATGAAAACATTCAAGACAACAGCAACTATAGTCACTGTGACAATATGGTCGTCAATTACAAAGACAATAGCAGTAGCACCAACAGCGATAATCACAACAACAACAACAGGCAATGGGTGAAGTACCGCAAAAAGTGAACTTCTTTACTACGCTTTGTTGTGTCATGCCTTTCAAACTCAGACGAATTTTGCCAACTGCCTCATCCACGTCTCTTTTCAGACTTTTCATTGTGTTTTATTTGTTTACGTATATTTTATTTTGCAGTGTCATCCTCTGCCGTGTCTATAGAGAATGGTACATTTACCTGGAGCACCAAGGCTGCGCCTGTGTTAAAAGAGTGAGTATTGGAAGTTGGCGGTGAATTGTCAACAACTAAAGGTGATAAGCAAGAGCATTACTCGCAAATAGCTAATGTTTTATACACCGGAAGTACTTAAAAACGGAAGTAAAACTGTCTCCTGCTTGTGCAACCGTGCGCTAATGATGAAAACGTGAAGGGAAACTAAAGGCAAAGACCCAGCATGTATTTCTTTGGAAACATCATTCACTGGTTTAACTTAATTAATGACACGACGATTTTCCGGCTCAACGGAGGACTGACGATTAAAAAGAGCACTCAAAAAAACTTATGATTGGCAGTTGAATTTTCCATTCCGAACCGGACGCGGACCGGCCGCGAACCGAACACGGACCGAGCACGGTGTAACTGACATTCCCGCAATGTAGACGGTTAAATTTGCGATTGCTTTTGAGACGTCTGACACTTGTAGCTTAACCAGTCAGTTTTTTTTTTCCTCAGGGTGTCGTTGCAAATTCCAAGTGGCTCGCTTGTCGCCATAGTCGGTCAGGTTGGATGCGGAAAATCCTCCTTGCTTTCTGCCCTCCTCGGAGATACCGAGAAAGTGGAAGGAATTGTCTCTGTAGAGGTGAGATTCTCTTTACTGTAGAATGGCGTTCAACAATTTTTCAAACGTTATCAGGGATTGCGCAAGTTTTACATTGCTTTCCTCTCGTTTGAAGCTAAACCTGGAGCAACTGCCGATATCATTTTGTCAATGCCGATAGCTGTTTGTTGAACGAGCAAACTATAAACCAATCCCAACCTGGTCAGTTTCACTTTCCCTACGCTCGAAGTTGTTAACATCCTGTTGTCTTGTACCCCTTATGGCTTTCATGTGACACGCCTTTCAGAGTAGCTGGGGACTTTACCATGGATTTTGCTTCACGACACTTCATCAAAAAGCGCTGCAGTCGTTTCTTCTTGGATTTCAGAGCATGTACCGCTGAGTCAAACTTTGAGATTGCAAGAATAAAGGAACTTAATAAATTCATCTTGTTGGTAACAAAGGAAATATACAGCGAACAGTACGGAGAATATCCATACTGATGTTGGAGTACAAAGGTCTAAGCTCTCCCATCGAAGAACTTTACTTTCCCCTTTTAATAGCAACTTTTTAAAAATGCATTGCCTTTGTATAATTGAAGGGATCTGTGGCGTATGTTGCCCAGCAAGCTTGGATACAGAACGCAACTTTACGAGAAAACATTCTGTTCAGCAAAGCCATGGATTCCGCTCGTTATGAAAGCGTGCTTGACTCTTGTGCTTTAAGACCTGACCTGGAAATTCTTCCTAACGGTGACTCCACAGAAATTGGAGAGAGAGTATGGTCTTTTGTTTCTTTTTTAGAGGAGCTAGGGTTCTCAATAGACCATTCTCAGTCCAAAATGGCGTCTGAATATTAACCACAAAAAGTCAAAGTACACAGGGGATTTTTTACGACACCAAAGTAGACACACTATGACTTTGTAAGCTATCTAATTCCTTAGACTGTGGCCAGAAATAAAGTTGATAAATGGGAAAAAGAGCAATCAAGAAAACTGTCGAGACTCCCACGATTTTCATGCAGTATTTGCCTTTTTTTCTTGGTGACAGTGACATGGTGCATGATCCCTTTTTTCCTTTCTATGTATTCGAAAATTTCATTTTGTTTTGACAATTTTTTTCTCCTTTCAGGGTATAAATCTTAGTGGTGGACAGAAACAGCGAGTAAGCTTGGCTCGTGCTGTGTACTTCAATGCTGATATCTACTTGTTGGACGATCCGCTCAGTGCTGTGGACTCACATGTTGGAAAACACATTTTTGAGAATGTTGTCGGGCCACAAGGAATGTTACGAAACAAGGTTTGCTGGAGTTCATGTTTCAGAGCTTGCGGGCTCAATCCTTGGGTAGCGTTATTTGTATTGTGATCAATCCACCATCTTAAACGTTAGCACGCAGGCGGGCTCAATCCCAGGGCTAGTCTGTGTTTTGACTGCTCTCACAATTCAAGTCAAGGAATTTTGAGAAGTTTAGTTCACCCTTCACCGTGAATTCAGTATATTTTAATACTTGCTAGTTCCTTAGTGTTTGATCATTTTGAAGTTCGCCTTTTTTTTTTTCTTTACAGACTCGTTTGCTCGTTACTCATGGAATTCATTTTCTTCCTCAAATGGATCAAATTATTGTGCTCAAAGATGGAAGAATTACCGAGGTTTGTTTATTGTTCCCCTCATGCATGTACACTAAAAGCACTCCCTCCTTCCCAGTACTTTTCGATCGCCTCACTCATGGAGATCCTGCGGCGCATCCGCGTGACTCCCAGAGTGTTCCGCGGCGCGCTAACAGCAATTTTTCTTCACTGATTTTTTTTCCGATTTGCACGACGGACTTCGCCTCGCCGATTAATAGGAATTGTTCGTAGTCTAAATAGCATGGTGTATTGAGATAAGTGAAACCTCTTGTACTGTAAAACTCCATAAATAGTACTCGTCGAACGCGAAGAGTTTCTCTCGTGTACAAAGTTTCTGTGAATGTTTTGTTTTGTTTTGTTTTTTTTTTTATCAGAGAGAAACTACTTGAAAAAGATACGTTTCCTTTTCGTTAAGTAGACCAAATGCGGGACGTTTCCTGGGGTAAAAAAGAGTGAATTTTCGGCATTGTTGCGAAGGTCGGTTACAAAATAACTCAAACTACAATATAATGTTTGAGAAAAAAGAACAACAAAGAACGTGAAAAAAAAACAACAACAACAACAACAACAACCGCTAGATACACAACTACTAACTTACTTTTTGACATCTCTATATATTTTTATATTGCTAGTTACATAACACTACATAATGAAAATTGATAACGCAAGACACTAATCAACAGTAATTTGGGTCCTATTTGCAATCACCACCACATACACAACGGACCCTGTAAAGTCGCCATCGCTGTTTAGCAAAGCACACTGAAAAGCATGCAGTGAAGAACTTAATAGCGCTAGAGTGTCGCCATTCACGCCTTACATCAGAAATAAGCTGCTTTCTCCCCACCAACGGTACTTTTCTATATATATTTTTTTTTTTTTGTTTTTTTTTTTATTATTATTATTATTATTTATTTAGATTGTTGTTGTTTGGCGAAGTCAGTAAATAAATAGATAAATGATCTGGCCCCAGGTGAACTTGTGAATTTAAGAGCTTGCTGTTTTTTTTCGATCAGATTTAATCTTTTTTGTGTTGCCTTGCTAGTACTGTTAGAGTTTGGTTTTGCGTTTCCTGATCCTTCTAATTCTTAGCATGAATATCGCAACAGGATCCAGTGCTGTTCTCTGGGGACCTTCGACTTAACCTTGATCCATTCAGTAAATTCACTGATGACCAGCTCTGGCACGTCTTGGAAGTGAGTCACCTGAAGAACTTTGTCTCGGGGCTGAGTGAGGGACTTCAGTACACAATTGCAGAGGGAGGAGAGAACTTGAGGTACTTTACTGAACGAACCTTTTTCCTTCGACTTCATTTTGAAACAAATTATTCATTCTGGCTGTATTCCGTAGTGTTGGTCAACGGCAGTTGGTGTGTTTAGCACGTGCGCTGCTACGTAAAAGTAAGATCTTGGTTCTGGACGAAGCCACGGCCGCGGTGGACTTGGAAACTGATGAACTCATTCAGCAAACGATTCGGCGAGAGTTTGCTGACCGCACAGTGTTCACCATCGCTCATAGGCTCAATACCATTATGGATTATGACAGGTTAGTAGTTTTTGCCCGACTTGTGATTTCTGCTATGACTAGAAATGGATCTTCTTTAGCGTTCGTGGTGAAGCAACCGTTAACCAAGTCTTTAACCTTCCAGGACCTGCGAACGAATTTCTGATCTGAAAAGGCCTCCCAGCAAAGAGCTTGTCACTACGACATTTTGTGATTTCATCTTTGTCGCCCTTTTT